CAGAACATGATTTGTGTTCTGAATTGTTTAATAATAATAGCCATTTTTTAGAGATAGGAGGAGGAGAGAGGGATCTTTGGAATTTGGGCTGGTTTCCATCTTTTGAGAGCCATGCTTGTCTCTTGGAGCTGAGGCTGAAAACTTGTCTTTTTGAATTCTGGATCTCTCAAACTTCGCCTTCTTTTGAATATGTAACAGTTCATTGTTTTTTCTTGAGGTTGTGGAGGGAGAATTTTGTTTCTCTCTTGTTTTCTTTTTCATCTTTCTAATGATAGCTTTCTGGTTCCTGAATCACGAACAACAATGCTAATGATAATCAAAGTTTATGTTAGCAGTAAACTTTTCCTTGTATATCAGAAAAAAAAAAGTTCCTGATCAAATTGGCAGTGCTTTAGAGGAAGTTTTCTTATATATACATGTGTCTGTCTGCATGTTATCTTGGGGGGTTTCCAGCTCAGATATGAAGTGTGAATCAAAAGAAAAACCAGAAAAGAAACAGAAACAGAGAAAAGAGCACCAGAAATTCTACTTGGCTGCAGTTGATGGGTCTCAATAAGATGCAACAGGGCCACCAGCATCACTCTGTGGCTGTGAAGGTTAATGACCAAATGGGAACCAAGAGAAAGTATACTTTTATTCAAGCAAACAGGGCTTGGCTCCCAAAGTTTCTACTTCTTTGGATAATGGTGATGGCGTTCTTGAGCATGTTGATCTACGATGGAATGGACGCCGATAACAAAGAAAGGAGGAAGGAAGTTTTGAGCAGTATGTGTGAACAACGAGCAAGAATGTTGCAAGATCAGTTCAGTGTTAGTGTTAATCATGTCCATGCCCTTGCCATTCTCATCTCCACTTTTAATTACTACAAGAACCCATCTGCTATTGATCAGGTTTGTGCTTTGTCTTAGCTTAGATTTTCTCTTTTTCTGTTGGAATCACTCGGGTCATGTGTTCTTGGCAATAGGCAAAACCATGAAGTCTTTGAGTTTTCAATTACAATAAAGAAAGGGAAAGTGAAATTCTGAGTTTAGTTTTGCTTCTTCTCTTCCAAACTAATATGAGGATTTCAAATTTATTTTGCTAGATAATCTCACAAGAAAAATTAACCTTGTTAAAGGAAGGATTACATTACTGTTCATGTTGTTATTGTTTTTATCCTTTTCTCCTCTTAATTCTTTTGGTAAGTTAATGTGGCTTTCTCAGAAAAGATTTTATTTCCTGTTGTGCATCGTGGCCTCATGGTTTGAGGTAAAAAATGCAGGAAACTTTTGCAGAATACACAGCAAGAACAGCTTTTGAGAGGCCATTGCTCAGTGGGGTGGCTTATGCTGAAAAGGTGGTCGATTCAGAGAGAGAAACATTTGAGAGACAACACGGGTGGACTATAAAGACAATGGAGAGGGAACCGTCACCTGTTCGAGATGAGTATGCACCTGTCATCTTCTCTCAAGAGACTGTCTCCTACATTGAATCCCTTGACATGATGTCAGGAGAGGTATGTTATTGAGTTTTTTTTATCTTCAGTTTTGGTTACTCTATTTGTATCATCTAATTGATGATATTTGATGTTTTGTTGGACTCTAATTCATAACTGTTGACACAGGAGGACCAAGAAAACATTTTGCGAGCTAGGGCAACTGGAAAAGCTGTTTTAACAAACCCCTTCCGGCTGCTGGGTTCTCACCATCTTGGTGTAGTCTTGACATTCCCTGTTTACAACTCAAAGCTTCCTCCAAATCCAACAGTCCACGAGCGCATTGAAGCAACTGCAGGGTAAGTCCTAGTATTTGTAATTCCAATAGAGTATTAACCTTGTCTCTGGAAAAATTTATGGAATTTTGCTGATTGTTCATTGATATACTATCCATGAATTTTAGAGTCATATTTATAGGTTGATAACAGCCTATGGACCATTCAAGAACCATGCAGGGAAGGGAATATCTTATGCTAATTTTGTTGCATTGTTAATTATATGATCATACCCAAAGTTCAGCCACCATATTCTTTCGAGGCAGTAATTTGATCCCATGGAGTTGCAAAATAAAATTTAGAATTCATGAGTGTCTACTTTCTCAACTTAAGTCCTTGTTGCTGGTGTTTCTTTCGTGACGGTGAAAATTGGGTACCAAAGTTAAAACTGCCATGCATCTAAATATTAGCACTTAAATTTTCTGTCTTTAAAATGTTATTGAATTTAAACAGCATTACTGACAGCCTTTAACTGCTCTATGCATTTACCCTGTCATCTGAATCATTTCCTTTTGATTTGCTACCTAGGAAACTAGCACTAGTGCTGTCTCTTCCAATGCTTCACTTGTCTAACCTGCTCCTGCTATTTTGCCTACTGCCTTCACCACTGTTTACTCTAGTGCCATTGATTAACCCCAAGAAACCATGGCTCTTTCCCTCGATTTGCTGTCATTATTACCACATGATTTGCACTCTGATGAAACTGAGATGATTGCATCTCTTTTTTTTGTGTGTTTTAGTTTTAATTTTTAAAAGCTGGGTTTCTCCAGGTTTATTGTCCTAGCTAAGTTGGCATGCACGTTTCCTCCTTTATAACATATTTTTGTTGTGAAGAATAAATAAACCTGTGGAATCAATGGTCTGCACTTTAGGTTTGTTAATTTAATCTGGAAATTCTAGAAGCTTTTATATGTAAATGACATTCTAATTTGTACAGATACCTAGGTGGAGCTTTTGATGTTGAGTCCCTTGTTGAAAATTTACTTGGGCAACTTGCTGGAAATCAGGCTATTCTGGTTAATGTGTATGATATCACAAACTCGTCTGATCCTTTAATCATGTATGGTCACCAAAATCAAGATGGTGATGCATCTCTTCTGCATGAGAGCATGCTTGATTTTGGAGATCCGTTTAGGAAGCACCAGATGATATGTAGGTAAGTCATTGATCATTTCTTTCTTTTTTCTTTCTGTGAAGTGGAAGAGTTCTTGGGCTTTCTCTTTTGATGTTGAGACTTATTGTTTTGGATTGTTTATAGATATCATCAGAAGGCACCCACATCATGGACAGCGCTCACCACGGCATTCTTATTCTTTGTGATCGGTTTATTAGTTGGTTATATCTTATATGGTGCTGCTATTCACATTGTTAAAGTTGAGGATGATTTTCATGAAATGCAGGAGTTAAAAGTTCGAGCAGAAGCTGCTGATGTTGCCAAATCCCAGGTATTGTTTCCATGCATGCTCTCAAGAATACATGTCCAATTTCCAAGGTGCAATAATTGTGAGCTTAATAGCAAATTTGATGTTTCTTCCAGTTTCTGGCCACTGTATCTCATGAAATTAGAACACCCATGAATGGTATCCTTGGTATGTTTTGGGATTTTTTCCAAGCCTTTGCAATATTTGTATTTGGAATGTTTATACTTCGTTAATCTGCTTTATAACCAATATTTACGGGTATTATTTCAGGAATGCTAGCTTTACTTCTAGATACTGATTTAAGTTCAACCCAGAGAGATTATGCTCGAACTGCTCAAGGTTGTGGTAAAGCATTGATAGCATTGATAAATGAGGTGCTTGATCGGGCAAAGATTGAAGCTGGCAAGTTGGAGTTGGAGAGAGTGCCATTTGACATCAGATCCATACTAGATGACGTCCTCTCTTTATTTTCTGAGAAGTCAAGGCACAAAGGCATTGAGGTAAATTTGAATAAATCAATTTTGTTTTTCATCTTTTATTTCTGTTAGAAGATAAAACTGCTTTGTTCTTGGTGACAGATGGTTTTTGTAGTTTTTGAAATCTTTTCAAGTTGAACTAATTTGTGCTACTTTCCTCTCTCTCCTCATTCTTGGCTTTCGGGCATGCATGATTCTGGCGTGCTCTGTGCATTTTATATTTCTCTTTCATGATACACAATCACCGGGGAATTGCAGCTGGCAGTGTTTGTTTCTGATAAGGTACCAGAAATTGTTATGGGGGACCCAGGGAGATTCAGACAAATAATTACCAATCTTGTCGGGAACTCTGTTAAGGTAAGTGAATTGTTCAACCTTTGTTTTTGATAGGGGAAAACAAAGTACATATATGCCATTTTTACTGTGTGCTACAATTAACTTACAGTACAGCTAATTATTTTTTAAAAAAATGTAGGATACAGCTAATTCGTTAGTTTTTAGCACACAATAGTAGTAGCATACTTGAAAGTATATTAAGTATTGGTAGGATATATGTTATAAACAATAGTTGGAGACCTATTTATGTAGGACAAAGAGAGCATGAAGACAAACCAAACTTATAGGAATTTCATTTAGAACCAAACTTGGAGATTTTGGATCTCAACAACCAAAGCAACATATTAAGATTTGAATGGTAATCATCAATAGCCTACTAAATAACTAAGGTAGGATAACTTACTTATAGGCACCAAAATACAAAAAAAATAGGAAATCTAAAAAATTTAGTACATAGAAAAACAAATTAAACAGAAAGAATTAGGAAAATAGGAAATCTATGAACTAGGAAAATAAATCTTTGTATTCCCTTTCTTGTAAAACATTTAAAAACTTGAAAAAGGAAATTAAATCTTCTTATTCTTTTCAGTTAACTTCCCAAAACGGTTATATTCCTTTATTGATTCTATTCATATCTCCTATTATTGAAACACGACCACTTTTGAAGCTCCATATTCTGCATCACCTACAAGTCAATTTGCTTGGATTAGTTTAGTGGTAGCATGTTTGCTTAATTTGCTCAGACTTTCCTCCTATCAAGTTCATGGAATCTTGTGGCTTTGACTTTTTAATTCTTTTATTCTTTGAACTGGAGTTTCTGTTCATTGAATTTAGTTTGTGCCTAAATGACAGTTTACCATTTCATATATACATGATACTGTTGATGTTTGATGTTTTATTACCTTACATCTTTGACAGTTCACTGAGCGAGGACATATCTTTGTTAAAGTCCATCTGGCTGAGCAACCAAGGGATATAGTGGATGCAAAAGTGGAAACTTGTCTAAATGGAGGATCAGATGAAAGTGGTTGCCATCAATTTAAGACCCTAAGTGGTTTTGAAGCAGCTGATGATAGGAATAGTTGGGACTCCTTTAAGCATTTATTTGCTGGTGAAGAACAACAACATGATGGTTCAGTAAACATGATGACTAGTAAAGGAACTTCTGACAATGTGACTTTGATGGTCTGTGTAGAGGACACAGGAATTGGCATTCCACTACCTGCTCAGGATCGGGTTTTCATGCCCTTCATGCAAGCAGACAGTTCAACCTCTAGAAACTATGGTGGAACAGGTATAGGATTGAGCATTAGTAAGTGCCTGGTTGAGATGATGCATGGTCGTATAAACTTCATAAGCCGGCCTCAGGTTGGGAGTACGTTTTCGTTTACTGCTGTGTTTGAGAGGTGTAAAGAAAAAGCATATGATAATATGAAAAAGCCTAATTGTGAAAACCTGCCTTCAAGTTTTCGAGGATTGAAAGCAACAGTAGTTGATGGAAAACCAGTTAGAGCTGCTGTAACCAAATACCATCTAAGGAGACTTGGTATAGTTGTTGAGGTTGTGAATAGCATCAGGGAAGCATGCAGGAAAAATGGTCCGTTTACTTTTGGGTAAGTTTTCTCGACTTCTACCAGAATTTGGAAACTTCAAAGTGTAAAGCTAGTTGTTCCAAATATAATTCAGAATCACTTTCCCATTATTGATGCATGATTGCTGATGGGATTCTGTCTCAAACCAACTTGCTATTTTCTTCTATACTAAAACTAAAGCTTCCTTCCCGCTTTTTAGCAGTAATATGTCATATCATATCACCTGAATTGAGAATGCTCATTCTTTTGGAGTTTCTGAAGACCTTTGACAGCTTGTGTCAGATCTTTTTCTTCCTTGTTTAGTCTGGCAGAAAATGACATTTATTCTCTGTGATGTAGACGCCAAAGAAAGTCAAAGTTAGGTAGTAAAAATATATTTTAGATTTTGGATATGGAGGTCATTGGTCATGTTGGTTACACTGGGAAGTAAACCTTTCCCTTTCTCTTTAACTCTCTTGATGTTGGAGTGAGCTAGATTTCATCTTAGGTTCTTGACACCAAAGTGATTGTACTAGTTTAACAAATTGATACTTACTAAATGTAACCCTTCACAATAGTAAATATCTTTGTTGTGCAAAAGGTTGAGATGTATGTGCATGTAGGATTCGGAACCAAACAGTAAAGTGAAACTGGTATGCCATATTAGACTTTATGTAGGAAAATATATTGTAAAAAAGACAAACAAGAGTTTGAGAAAATGAGGAGAAAAATTTAAGTAGGAACCGAGTGCTAGGTATGGAAGATCCAGGTGGCCATCTTGAGGATAATGGTTTTTCTTACGACAGGTGCAGAGTGCAAAATGAAAAATACACTTGAATTTAGATCTTTTGATGCACTGATATTTTTTATAGTTGGTTAAATTTTGACTTCCTGACTGGGATTGCTTTATTGCTTGCTGCAGAAATAGTTTCCAGCCAGATATAATTCTCGTAGAAAAGGATTCATGGACTTCTGCTGATGATGGAAGTTCTGGGTTACGGTTGTTGGACTGGAAACAGAATGGGCAAACTTATAAAATACCTGAGTTGATCCTTCTTGCAACCAATATTTGTAATGTAGAATTTGATAAAGCAAAGGCTGCAGGTTTTGCTGATACTGTGATTATGAAACCTTTAAGAGCAAGTATGGTGGCTGCTTGTCTTCAGCAAGTGCTGGGAATAGGGAAGAAGAGACGGACAGGGAAAGAATTGCCTAATGGATCTTCCATCTTTCAGAGCCTGCTTTGTGGAAAGAAAATTTTGGTGGTTGATGACAATATGGTAAACCGCAGAGTTGCTGCTGGTGCACTGAAGAAGTTTGGGGCTGCTGTGGAGTGTGTTGACAGTGGCAAAGCTGCATTGAGGATGCTTCAGCTACCGCACAGTTTTGATGCTTGCTTTATGGATATACAGATGCCAGAAATGGATGGGTATGTTGTGCAAAGTTTATACTTAGATTATTTTCTAACATATCTTTTTATTATTTAAAAAAAAAAATTAATATTTCGTTTGAATTTCCTTTTCACGCAAGAGTTTTGTTGAAATTTTTCCTTGATGCCTTGTTCTTCTTGGAATCATTATTTTGCAACACGCAGGAAAAGTCAATGTTATGAAATAGGATAGACTGCAGCCCCTGAGTCTTGTCCTGCATGTAAAAGCTCTTGATTTAATAATTTGGACAAAAACAACATATTTCACTCAGAAACTACACTTACCCCCTCCATATATCTTTGTTAACATTTATTTCAAAAAAAAATTTATATATCTTTGTTAACATTTTCATAACTTTTCCTCATGTTAGGTTAGCATATCATTTAAAATACTTAAATTTATCTTTTTTTTCCTGAATAACATTGAAAAAGAATTATAAAATTCATAAATTAAAAATTCCTCTCCCTTCTCTTTTATCATTTCATGGCAGCCGCTACCCTTCCCTTCACTGGCTATTTTCCACTGCACCCCTGTGGTGCTACAATTTGGATTTGAACCTAATTTTCCCTAAGTATAATAGAATTTATAGGGAACTCAGGTGAAGAGATATGAGGGGAGATAGATAAAACAGATAGGTTAGAAGGAGAACAGACAGAAGATAGTTCTGGATGTAAAACCCCAGCAAGTACTTCTTGATCAAACCTTGTCTACTATTGTCTAAGTTAGTGGCCATTATATAGGCACTAGTTTTATCCCTAATTATAATAGATGAGGAAAAAGATCGAAATAATTTCTCAAAATAAAGATGTGATGTTCTAAATCCTTATCAGGATTAAAACCTTCTAAAACTAATTATCATATTCGAAAGAATCTACATATTTTAACAATACTAAAATTTCAAAAACAAGAGTCACTTCTATAGCTGTAAGTTTTCAATTTTAAGATCTTCTAATTCTAATCATTTTTCCTTCTGCTTTTACCTCAAAAAAAAAAAAAATCATTCTTCCTTCCGCTTGGGGAAAACTGGATTCTGGAGTTTTGAAACATTGAAGTATCCAGAATGGCAAGATTTGGACATGCCACTTCAAGAACTTCAAAAAATTAAGACTTGCTGTACTTGTAATCTCCATGAGAAAAGAGAAAGTTAACCAAATTTGTTAGATTTTATCTTATAGAAATTGAAGTACTTCAATAAAATTTTTCTGTCCCTAAAAGTCTTCCAGTTTAAGATTTCCATTTTCATCAATCTGTATCTCCACCCCCACTCTCCCATTTCTGGGCTTTCTATCTCCATCGCACCACCCAAATCCAGTACTTCATTCTCTCCTCCACCAACTCAGCCATTGGACATCTCTGCTAATCCATAGTTTCATAGGCTGTTTGTGGGGGATGAGAATTTGAGTTTCTTAAAACTCCTTTGATTTCAGGTTTGAGGCAACCCGCAGAATACGGATGATGGAGAGTCAGGCAAATGAGCAGATGAATGGCATGTGGCATATTCCTATACTAGCAATGACAGCTGATGTGATCCATGCGACATATGATAAGTGCCTGAAATGTGGAATGGATGGGTATGTTTCGAAACCCTTTGAGGAAGAAAAACTCTACCAGGCTGTTTCTAAGTTCTTCAAAGCCAAACCCATCATGGACTCATAACAGGAATTCCTACACCTATGAGGACAAAGTGAATTCTAAGCCGAAGAATTTCAGTACCAGTAAATTTTGACATTCTGCTGGTGTTTTTATTCTTTTTATTTTGTTTTTATCTAAATTTCCTGCTCGCAGATGTGGAAATAGTTGGTTTCTTGGGAATTTTGAGGATTCTTGACCGACAGTGAAACACAGGCTTTGGGCAGACATTTTCTAACCAACCTGAATTTAACATGATTAGAATGTTGAGTATATGTATACTACCATAGAATCCTCCAGCCCTACGTGTATGTATAGATCTTTAGGAAGGGGAGGGGGTACCAAAGGTGTAAATCACATATATATTTTTCTATGGCTTTCTATTGGAAATGGTCTTCATATCTGGATTTGGAGAAAAACTCAGATCACTGACACTGAAACGTGAAAGAAAAGTAGACATCGGTGATCAAATTATTTGCTTGTATGATTATTTGTATTGGGTGCAATCTAGCAGTGAAATTCTTTATTCGATTCCATTTTGATACTTTATTTGCACGTGTTAATGGAGAATCACTTTTTTGCTTGGTCATTCCTTCAACTTTGGAAATTGTTTATGTGCAAATGTCATTTAATTAGGAAATTCAAAGCTCTTGCTGATTCCAGAACTGCAACTTACTATACTCCTCCATATGTTCGTCAGTCCCAACGAATTGTCACTAATCTGCATTTTACTGTTTCATTATTTGCATGTTACTGTTTCATTATCTGCATGTTACTGTTTCATTAACTGCATTCTACTGTTTCAACTTACTCTTTTGTTGCTTCATTCACCAATGTATAATCCTTGATACATACAAAGGTGATATGATATCTACTCTAGTTTCTTGTACTAGAGTCTAGTAAAATGGTGTAGATCTAAGGTGTAGAATTTCTTTGATGAAATATACTTTGGAGTTTAATTCTGTTGAAATTGGAACCCTAATTGATGGCCTTTTTTTTTTGGTTTTTACTGTCTTACTGTTCTATTGTGATTATTATCAAGGTTGATGTCCTTGCTGCTTGTTCCTTATCTGTGTTTGAGCTTTGAGTGTACTGATTGGGTATTTGAAGCTGATTTAAGGATGACTTTCTTGGATGAATGAAAAGGCAATAGTAAATGCTATACCCATAGCATATGATTGAACTGTTGCTTGGTTCGACTTCCCTTCTACCGTGGCAGCTGCAATTTCAACTAGGTAATCTTCTCATTCTTTTGGTTTTTTGAGTATATTTTACTGCTTTTCTTAGTGGTAGTTTTTAAAACCGCGACGAATTACTGCTAAAGCTACATCCGCATGATAATTTTTTATCAGTGGTTGCTAAAACAGCAAATCAAAACAAATTTTTTTTGGCCATTCAGTCCGCCATTAAAATCTGTCAAAGTGGAGCTATCACATGCCGCACCTTTTGCAGCAATAGTCGTTCATTCAGCATAGATATAAAATTAAACCAAATTTATTAATCGTTACATAAAATTTACTTAAAAGATATTATATAAAAGTATAATTTTTTTTTTTGGTATTCTTTTATAAGAATCCAAGGATTTTTAATTGAAACCTATGGCTTTTGTAAGTTTTCCATGAGATTTTTAATATTATTATTAAAAGGTTCAAGATTTATCCGAGAAAATTTTAAAAAAAACTAACAATTGAGGGGTCAAATGAATCTTACAAAACCTTTTAAACTTGAACACCCATTCAGATTTTGTTTTTCTTTCCCCCGGCGCACACGCACGAAACTGCTTATCTTTGCTGCAACATGGAGCAGCTGGCTGGAAGAGGAGGAATGGTTGACCCCAACAGCCGGTTGACAAGCTACCTGCACCAGCACTCCTCACACCTAGACTCTTCAAGCAGTGGGATCAGCTTCCACCTCTTCCCTCTTACGAATTTCTTAATTAATTTTTTTTTTTCTTTCAATTAATTTAAACTTAAATTGCCCTCAAATTTTTAAAATTATACAAATAACCTAGAATGCATATTTCTCGTGACACTCTCGACTTCTTATATTATTTTTTGAAAGAAAATGATGTCGTAAGAGTACTTCAATTATAAAAATCCTGCACGATTGAAATATTAATCATTTGTCTGTCGAAAATACAGGGCTGAATATTTCTCATACCACAAATCAAATCAGATTACATGAGCATCAATTCAAATATTTTTAGTACCACAATACAGCAGCACAGGTTAAACTGTCATATTGGACATTTTTCAAACCTGTAAAAGTAGCGGCAGTCGTGTGGTTAATTTGCCGCTAAAGTTTTTCACGGCGGAATTAACAGCCATTAACGGCCAATATTTCACAAAATAATTTAATAATTTTTTATGCATAATAATTAAATTAAATTTCAACATCCGAAACTAAAAAACACATTTTTTAATGAATTAATATATTAAGTAATGGTAAAAAAAAATAATGGAGTCAAAAGAGAAAGTACCCACATTGATATATATACATACATGTATATTGCAGAAACACCCACCCAAAAGAATTTTTAAATTAATAAGTGTTTTTCTTTTCCCAAACAAAAAATACATGCATGGTTTGTAGAACTCAATTAACATAGGTTACTAGCTTTGCACGAGCTATGCCAAGTTGTTCCCTCTAGCTCCTTTCTTTTTCTTAAAACTATTTTAAAAATTTGCCGTTAAAATTTCCTTCTTCTCATGCTTTTAAATTTTGACATCCGAATGATGTAAATATTATTTTGAAATTTTATTTAAATATTGTCTTTTCTGTGAGAACTGAAAAGCCCCGGTTTGGAGGCTTGGGCCTTTGAAAATGAAACTAATGGTCAAAATTCATTTAATTAAAAAAAAAAAAGAAAAAACAAACATTTAACAAAATTAATTCTTGAAAACATAATTGAATTTCCAACTCTTCAGGTCTGTCTGTCAAAAGCCTTTTGGAGGTTTCCTCATTCCAGAATTGATGGGTCCTGAGACTTCTTGTCTTCAATCCATTTGGGGACAAATAACATTTTATATAATCACCATTCAACTATATAGTTATCATTTAATTATTTTTGGGTATTTGAAAAATTATTCAAAAAATATAGAAAAAGAAAGTTCCACTTGGTGGGTTGGGCCAGCATTTTCCAGGTTAGGCCCAGATTTCAAAAAGTTGAGGTGTTTTTTGTAATTAAGATTTGGTTTGACCCAACTGTGATTAAGGCAAAAAAGATTAAGATAACAAATTATTTAATAATCATCAAATTTTTTTTAAATAAAAAAAAAATGAATATGCAGGATTGGCAGGGAGTTCTATTGTCAGAAACTGCTTTGACAAATATGCCATCAGGATTCGGATTCAGGGCACGGATTACTATGAAAATCCAATCAAACCGCGTTAATTAAAAACCAGATTTGCCATTAATCCACTAAACAATATCGTCAAATCTCCCACTTTGTTTCTTATTCTTTTCTTGGGGGAGAAGAGCATTATAAATCATCAAAATTTCAATGAATTTTTAACATGCTATTTTATTTGTAATTGAATTGATAAATATTCTAAAGAAGAAATTTGTTTTTTTTCTTAGTTAATTTTGATTCATGTATATGATTTTTATCACTGATTTCGGCATCCCAAAATTAAATAGTACAATTTTTTTTTTTAGAGTTGGGAATTAATTTTGATTTAGTGCAAAAGATTATAATTTGATTACAAAAAATTACAATATGTTAGATTATGGGGAAAATGAAATGAACGGGAGTGGTTCAGCTGCAAGAGGAAAGGAAATCATATACAATTTTTAACGTTAAATTTATTTTACTAAAACGATTTGTAGGTCTGCGTTTCATTCAGAAAAGTGGAGGAGGGAAGAAGCCAAAATCCAAGGCGGGGCAGCCTTTGCCCAGATCATTCAATTCGCTCCAACAGCCAGGCATAGTTGTGTAGTCAAAGCAACTTTGTCACCTTAGTGTCCCCATCGGACGGCAGCCCTTTCGGGGCTTCCTCAGGGACCGAATCCCAACCCCAACCCTCCTCCTTCCGTTCTTTTCCCTCTAAATTCTCTGCTCCCTCTCCGCCGCTTCTTTCTCTCTCTTGTTATCATAAGAACCAGCCCCCAGTCAAAGGCTCACGAGTTGAAACAATGCCCCCTTAAACCCTAGTGGAAGAAAGGGGAAAAGCCGAAACAGAAAGTTTCTTTAACTTTTCTTCATTTTCCCTCAATTTATCGGCGTTTTTTGTTGATTTCTGGTCAAAGAGAGAAAAAAATGGGGAAATCTCATCTGGGTATTCTGTATCTTCTTCTCTTCGTCGTCTCTTTTGTATTGTACGTTCAGTCTCAGTCCACCCCCGACTTGTCTTCCATGCAAGCCCTCAAATCCACCCTCACGCTTACAAAAGCTTACGACTGGTCCGACCCGGATCCCTGTAAATGGACCAAGGTTAGATGCGACGGCAACAACCGGATCAACAGAATCCAACTGGTCGGCTCGGAAGGAAACAAGATACAAGGCACCCTTCCTGCTGATCTCAGGAACCTTTCTTCTTTGATCATACTGGAGTTAATGGGCAATCAGCTTTCTGGGCCTCTACCGAGTCTGGCTGGGTTAAAGGCCTTACAAGAAATCAATATCCACAACAACAATTTCTCTTCAATACCCAGTGATTTCTTCTCTGACATGAGTTCTTTGCAGACTGTGAACTTGGACTACAATCCCTTCTCTCCTTGGGAGATTCCTGATAATCTACGGGATGCCACTTCCTTGCAAGAGTTTTCTGCAAACGGATGTAACATTTTCGGCAAAATCCCTGAATTTTTCAACAGCCAAACGTTTCCGGGGTTGACGAAACTGCATTTGGCTATGAACAAACTCCAAGGACAGCTACCCACGGGTTTTGCAGGTTCCATGATTCAGTCTCTCTGGGTTAATGGACAGGCTGGCAATACTAAACTCAATGGGTCGATAGCGATTTTGCAGAGCATGACTTCGTTGACTGAGGTGTGGTTGCACATGAACCAGTTTTCGGGTCCGATACCCGACCTTTCGGGCTTGACTTCGATGAGGAATTTCAGTGTCAGGGATAATCAGCTCACTGGTATTGTGCCTCTGTCCTTGGTAAATCTACCATCCCTTTATATAGTGAATTTGACTAATAATCTTCTTCAAGGACCAACCCCGAGTTTTGACACTAAAAGCGTTAACGTAGATATGAAACCTGGGTCTAATAGTTTTTGCTTGGACACTCCTGGTGTAGACTGTGATTCTCAGGTTAATACTTTGCTATCAATTGTTGAATCTATGGGTTACCCTATAAGTTTTGCTCAAAATTGGAAAGGAAATAATCCTTGTACTCCATGGATGGGCGTCTCTTGTACTGGAAAAGAGATTACAGTGATTAACTTTAAGAATATGGGGCTGTCTGGTACAATATCTCCAAAGCTTGCCAATCTTACTTCGTTGCAGATAATCAATCTTTCAGGCAATAATCTTAATGGCACGATACCCACTGAACTCACTGCCCTTCCAAAATTAACCAATATTGATGTTTCAAAGAATAGAATTTATGGTAAAGTGCCAAATTTTAGACAAAATGTGGTTGTGAATACTGAAGGAAACCCTGATATTGGAAAGGATGGCCCCACCCCAGCATCGCCGTCAGGTGGTTCCCCTGGTTCTAAGGGACACTCTGGCGGCAGTGATTCTTCAGGAAGTGGTGATAAGAAATCTAATACTGGTAAGGTTGTGGGTTCGATAGTTGGTGGGCTTGGTGGATTGTGCCTTGTTGGACTTGGAATCTGCTTGTATGCCCGGAGAGGGAAACGAACTAGCAGGGTCCAGAGTCCGCATACAGTGGTGATACATCCTCGTCATTCCGGTGAATCAGATGCAGTGAAGATTACTGTTGCTGGTTCAAGTGCTACTGGGGCAAGTGAAACTTACAGTCACACAAGCAGTGGACCTAGTGATATTCATGTGGTAGAGGCAGGGAATATGGTCATCTCAATCCAAGTTTTGAGGAACGTGACGAATAACTTCAGTGAGGAGAATGTATTGGGCAGAGGTGGTTTTGGAACTGTTTACAAAGGGGAACTGCATGATGGCACCAAGATTGCTGTGAAGAGAATGGAGTCAGGAGTGGTGAGTGAGAAAGGTCTGGCAGAGTTCATGTCTGAGATTGCTGTGCTCACTAAGGTTCGCCATCGCCACTTGGTGGCACTTCTTGGATATTGCTTGGATGGAAATGAAAGGCTTCTTGTTTATGAGTATATGCCCCAGGGAACTCTTAGCAGACATCTTTTTAATTGGAAGGAGGAGAACTTGAAACCTCTCGAATGGACTAGAAGATTGACCATTGCTTTGGATGTTGCTAGAGGTGTTGAATATCTACATGGTTTAGCTCATCAAAGTTTTATCCACAGAGATCTCAAACCATCCAACATTCTTCTTGGAGATGATATGCGAGCCAAAGTTGCAGACTTTGGTTTGGTTCGTCTTGCTCCAGATGGAAAACACTCAATTGAAACTAGACTTGCAGGAACCTTTGGGTATCTTGCACCCGAATATGCAGGTAATTTATCTTTTGACTATCCTGTTCTCATATAACTATCAATTTATGCATATATTCATTTGCTTGGGGATTTCATTGAGATAAATACTATCACAATTTGAGTGCTCCCCATAAGTTGAGAATGATCTCCTCTAGCGCACGAGTGGAAGATGCACATGTATATGACCTCAGTGGAGATAATTTGATTTTGATTCCTATTTGCCTATATTTCTATTGGTTTGAAAATATAAAAACTGAGAGCTTTGTTCAGTTGAGTGATACTTCTCACAAGGAAATTAATATCTGGTGTCTGCTTAATAGAATCAGGAGAGAATGATAAGAGAACAATTCAATGCAGGGAAGGGTTGTAGAAATTTAAAGGGAAGCAATTTGTAATCACATCAAAATGATGAGGATTAGAATGCATATTGCATCTTTAGATATAATAAGTTCAATTATGTTTCCCCATGGATACCAATCATAATTCTAACAGCACGGATTTACCTAGTTGAATCTGGTGGTTATAAAAATCAATCAAGTGCCATACACGGAATTGAACTCAATCCACCAAATTTCATGCATGCATTAATTTTTGCTATTTTTTCCTTCCTTTTCACTTATATCTTTTGCTTCCCAAATTTACTAGTCCTTTTATCTATGCTGCTCTTTATAATTTTCAACATATTGTAATGAAGGTTGTACTTATATGTAAGGGTTTGTGTAGGTGTTTATCCATCCTCTTTGTGATTCTGGGTGGATGCCTTATTGCATTCGCTCCATGCTATGGACATTCTTATTAAATTAAATAATCCTTGTGGCACTATCTTGGCAGTAACTGGACGAGTAACAACCAAGGTGGACGTATTCAGCTTTGGAGTTATCCTGATGGAAATAGTGACAGGCAGGAAAGCCCTTGATGAAACCCAACCAGAGGACAGCATGCACCTTGTCACATGGTTCCGTAGGATGCACGTGAACAAGGACACATTCCGAAAGTCCATTGACCAAACAATTGAGCTTAATGAAGAAACACTGGCTAGTGTTAGCACTGTGGCTGAGCTGGCTGGCCACTGCTGCGCGAGGGAGCCCTACCAGAGGCCAGACATGGGTCATGTTGTAAATGTGCTGTCATCTCTTGTTGAGCTATGGAAACCTGCAGAACCAGATCCGGAAGAGCTGTATGGAATTGATTATGATACACCATTACCCCAAGTGGTGAAGAAATGGCAGGCATTTGAGGGAATGAGCAACGTTGATGACTCTTCATCGTTCCTTGGCAGTGGAGATAATACTCAAACCAGTATACCCACAAGACCATCGGGTTTTGCAGAATCATTTACATCGGCAGATGGTCGATGAAGTATTCATTGATGGATTCAGAGACCTTGGGCTTGAGCTTCTTGTTGTTGTAAGGTTTGTTGTCTCTGCAATGATTTTGCTGGGGATGCCTTCTTTCTCTCCTCTCTATCTTTGTTGCTTGAACAGTTCCATATATATATATATATATATATATATATATATTTCCTGTTGTTTATGGAAGCTTTTTTAAGATGCAAATAGACAGAATTTCTCAGGTAAGAGCTGCTCTTTTTAATTTAATGCTTCATTCATTTCAACATTGATTTGACACGTAGTTTCGGGTTTTGGTTATTTGCCTTGTTTAATCTTTCAAGGCAATAATCTCATAGCAAATTGATTGTATTAAATACCAAAAAAATATAATAAAATAAAACTACATGTACATGAACATTGACCAATAATTGAAATGGGTTTGAATCTTTTTGTGCTCTGGTACTTAAAACTCTTAATTTGTTTGAATCTTTGATTAATCCAATTACATTATTATAAAATTTGGTAATGATATTAATCAGTAATTACTACTTAAAAGTCTTAATTTTAGATATTCTCCTAGAATAGTATTTGTTGTTATTAATTTTTGCATGTACACTTTGAATAATTACTTGGGAGTAATTTTTCTTTTTTTCTTTTGAATTTTTGTTTGAGGGTATAAGGTCGTAATAAATACGAGTGAAGGAAAGTTGGTAGAAATCATGAGGAAGATGCATGTGAATGCCTTAATTCTCTCGACAGCCACTGCCATTATTTTCTGACTGTTTCACTCCAGTTAAGCCGGCTTAATTTATGTTTAGTTCAAACATAACGCCCATTTGTCTATCCATCCTAATTTACTTTATTATTTAACAAAAACGAAGAAAGACGTGCGGACATCAGCTACAGCAACTACTGATTACATTTTTATATATATTTACATACAATTTTTTTTTTTAAAAAAAAAAAAAGAAGGGAGAATGTCTGATATATCTATGTCGTGACAAGAACAACCGTACACGTGTTAGTCGATGAGTGGTCAATAATTTTTTAAAAATAAAATGAACAATATTAATAATGGTGGCCAGCTGCATTTTGTTTTTGGGTTGGGATGGAGTAGAAGAAGCATCTTCCAAATGCAGACACTCATACCATTATTACTTTTATTAATCAAGTCTTACTGTTGACTTAATTAGTCAATTTCTTAAAAATCTTGTTTACCCATAATCAGCCGGATTTTCAGGATAATAAAAATTATCATTTATTATTTAATTTATTATTATCGGTGAACATGTCCCGAAATATGAGTGGAGCCCCCTGTCGACGTGACAAGGCTTTTCTGTAATGATGACTACTCCATTGTTATCTACTTCCAAAGATTCTGTCATCAAAATTTTTATTTTTATAATTACGGATTTATGTTTTTATATAAATATATATATATATATATGTAATTTACATTATATAATTGTTTCATATTTTTATTTATACAGTATGGATTTATGTTGTGTTTCAATCAATCTCTTTTGATTCTTTTTTCTTCTTCTCTTTTCAATTTGGTGTTTTTTGTATCATTTGATGTTATGTGTGATTCTCAAGTACACTTGAATTTTCATTATCAGACACTTGGCCTTTCATTGTTTTAGATAAGGTTGATGGTCATATAATAAGCAGCTAATATTTTAAATGGGATTTTTTTAGATCTGATAATTTAAAGATTAGTTCAAATAGTTTTGTTTTATAATCCTGTGTACATTT